GCAACGGGATTTACGTAAAATTCATATCGACCACTTTCGGGACAACAGACAACGCACATTCATATTGATAGTAAACAAAATGCACAAGTACAAAGATATTTCCTACATCTTAACAGTTTATAGTTAGAGTACATTCGCAAGTACGTTACAACTTATTCAGTACATATGTATACTTTAGAAACAACCCCACTTCAAACAATAGTGATACGGATGTAGGCAAGTAGTGTACTCTATGTTCTCACCATGGTGTCTAGATAGTAGTCGTCGCCCATTTCCCGGATGGTAACCACCTGATCGACAAATGTACTGTGTAGGACACATCAAAAGAAAGTAATAGGTTTTATATCCTTATATTAAAATAGTGACAACCACTGGGAAAACAACTAAATCATCTAAAATGACCACTATGCTTGAGACAACATGAAGATAAGAATAAAACTTATCACTAGGATATGATGTAAGTTGCGGTAGTATACAAACTATCAATAGAGAACATGAAACAATTTCGTGAGTCAGGCTAGATACTGCGGTCCACTCGGGACCTAGAGATATCTGAAACATCCCAAGCTTTGGGATACGTCTAAATTCCAAGAGAGAATATATCATTAGCATTTGAAGTACTTCTCCGAAGTCAATCCATAAAGGAGAACACAACATCCGAACAACCGTTGCACAGGGCACAGTGGAATACCCAAAGCACTGTATATCAGAAAAACAGCACAGGAGAACACAACATCCGAACAACCGTTGCACAGAGCACAGGGGAATACCCAAAGCACTGTATGTCAGTCAAACAGTACAGGGGTAATGCGCACCTGTGCCATTGTCGCAACCTTTAATCTTCGCAGAATAAGGCATTCAGAGCCCTAGTTCACAGCCAACCCATATATGAGTGTACACATACTAAGTATACGCTAGGTCAGGTAAGCAACCAATAGGCCTTCCAAACACACTACGTTAGTCGTCAGCCGGAAGTTCGGTACGCGCCTTTACAACCCAATTGCCAACCGCGTAAACCCTCCTATGTAAGGTATGCATCGAATGTGCACCGCATTTTATGGCTATGGCAGTCTTCTGCCAGGTTTCTGCATGAAGCATCAACTTCAGCTCAGAGACGTATGTCCCTATGGTATCACTTGGGGGTCTGAGTACACACATACCACACACACGAATCCGCCAGAGGTATCTTGCCCACAAACGCCATGGCCAGGGTGGACAGCTTGTGCGACAGGTACAAGCAATCCGTGTAGACCAGAAATGCCACAGATGGATCTATCCGTATGGCTTCATCCCGCAGTACCGGCACAACCGCACGGAATAGCTCAAACATGTCACGGGCGGTGAAGAAGCGCTGGACGGCTGTGTTCTGATCCTCGTCGCAAGCCTGCGAGAGAATAGGTGTGGATGTTACGTTGTTGGGTTGTGGCTTGTGTATAAGGTGTGTTGTGTTGAATAGCTCTATCTGGCTATCGCTATGATGCTGTATATATTTGCGTATATCTAAACGTGTTGCAATATATAGATTCATCCATTACCGTTGTCACGAAAAGTTGAATTTATATATATATATATA